AACAAATAATCATAAGACTGTGAGTATCCTAAGAAGTGTGCTCAGATAACAAGGGTCCCTCACCCCTGGCCCATGGAGGTTCTTGATGTCCTGGTGAGCAAAGAGGCTCAGACAGGAGGGGCAGCGGTTCTCAAAGGGTGACTCAGCTAGAATCAGCAGGGCTGGGGCCACGCTCAGAGCCCGCCTGGGTGTGGAGCCTGTGTTATGCCAGCCTGCTGCAAACCACCCCGAGGAGAGCTCGGGACCGCTGCAGCTTCTCAGGTGAGACTTTGCAGAGGAGGTGTTGACACAGGAGTTGGAATTTGTTTAGCAGAGGAGAGGATGAGGGGAAGGAGATTTCAAGGCAAAGGGAACAAACAAAAATAAGGACAGGCTGGGCAGCCTTTGAGAAGGCAGGACTCCTGGGGAGGGAGAGCTGTGTCCCAAAATGAGCAGAAGAGGTCAACAGGATATTGCATGTACTTCATATTCACTTATTTTTTTAAGAACCCATTAAGCAATAATTTTACGAGAGGCCACAGCTCTGCTGAGCAGGCAAAGGGATGGGTGTGCTCTTGGCTAACACAGGAAACAACCCACTGCGGTGCCAGGGTCGCCTCCTCTCAGGGAATGGGGTACGCCTTGTCATAATTCTCCTCCAGGAGGTTACAGGTTGTGTGGTCCACGTGCCCAGGTTTCCGCTGAACACCATTTGTGGCACTCTGTCGTGATCCTGAGAAATCCCAGGGTGAAAAAAAAAAACCCCTCTGGGCTTTTATGCTGGGTTTTCTAGCTGGCTGAAGTCAGGTCACTGGCGTGAAGCAAAATGTGTCCCATTGTCATCCTGTGTTCTTCCGGGAAACTCCGCACAGCCGCGGGGATCAGAAGCTTTGAGGCTGGACTGTCTGCGATCCGATCTCAAGGCTCTCACTCACTGGTCACTTTCACTTTCCTGTCCTTTGGCTCCTTTTGTTGCAAAAGGGGGAGGCGGTGATCGTTAAGAGGGCACATTGGAGAACCAGACCCATCAAGTCTGAGGCGTTAAGCGCCTACAGCTTTTTGTATGCTAGTCTGGCCTCAATACTTTGGTTTTTTAAAAAGGAAGTGCTTCGAGCAGAGCCTGGCCCAGAGCAAACACTTAATAGACAGTAGCTTTTGTGTTTTCAGAAAGGAGATGTGCACATGTCAGCTCATTCCTTTTATTTTGCCATGACCCGTTCTTTCAGAGAATTATAATGAAACGAAAAGGACGTGGCACATGTGGATCATATCATTTAGGATGATTGTGACTCAACAGAACGCCCAACTTAGGGTGGCTCAAACAGTATGGAGATTTCTTTTTTAAATCTCACATTCTGGGGCACATGGGTGGCGCAGTTCGTTGAGCTCCTGACTCTTGGTTTCCACTCAGATCACGCTCTCAGGTTCGTGAGATTGAGCCCTGCATTGTGTGTGTGTGTGGGGGGGGGGGTCTGTGCTCAATGGGGAATCTGCTTGGGATTCTCTCTCCCTTTCCTTCTGCCCCTCCCCATCTCTCAAATAACTGTTAAAAACTCTCATTCTGTGTTTCACTGAAACTAACATGCCATTGCTTGCAAAATGCTTCTCACATTCAGAAATACTAAGATGAAAAAAAAATGTGTCTGTGAGTCCAAACAAAAGGTCTGAAGGTACGGGGCTCCAGGGCTGGGATTTCGGCAGTTCGTCATGAAGACTCTGTCCTTTGTTTCTACCTTGCCACGCCAGACCTTAGATTCTGGCTTTGGAACAAGCCTCACGGACGCAAGAAGGCTGCCACAGCCTTAAGCAGCCTATCTTCACAGCCTCCCAAAGCCAGAAGGGAGGCTGTTGTTTTTAAAAACAAGAAAACGTTCCCAAACTTGGCATAATTGCATCACAAACCCTTTTCTGAATTCCTGGCAGAAGGAAGAGATTTATCATAAGGGTCTGGTGCCGACTCAGCAAGATCGGCCCTCAGGGGGGAGCTTGCCTCCAAAGAAGCGGAGAAGCTTGCCTCCAAAGGAGGAGCTTGCCTCCAAAGAAGCGCAAAGCCCACCAGTAGCTTTGTTCTGTTTGTGAGATGGAGGAGGAACGGCTGTGGGCCTCCCGTGAATCGTGAATCACCGGTCAGCTGCTCCCGACTAAGCAGCCAGCCACTTGGGATAACCAACCCACCTTCCTGTTCTTGTTAATGACAGCAGAGCTGCTTTTCCCAGTTGAGAAATTAACCTCAGATTCTAGAGATTCAGTTTCCTATTAATGTGGGTTTCAGATACCATATCTGAAATCCCATCAGTGCCAACCACCGGAACACAGCAGACCAACCGACTAGGTTGGGCCAAGGGCCAAGGCCCTTAACCCACACGGCGGACTTGGGCCCTGATCAGCCCGTGTTGAACTTCTGTCACTGACCACTCGACTGTGTGACTCTGTCCATATCAATAAATACAGATCCACACTAGCCGTGAACAACGGCTGCATAGTAATTCCACCGCACAGAAAACTCCAGCATCCCAGACCTCGGGGCGTCTGGCTGGCTTAGTGGAGCACGCCACACTTAATCTCAGGGTGGTCGGTTCAAGCCCCATGCTGGGTGTGGATCCTACTTAAAAAAAAAAAAAAAAATCACAACATTTAACGCTTTGGTGTCGGCAGCTCTGAACCCCTGCCTGCTCATTCAGTCATTTGATGCATTTTTTGTTGTCTTTCCCACTGATTTTTAAAGATTATTTATTTATTTGAGGGAAGGAGAGAGAGAGAGAGAGAGAGAGAGAAAGCAAAGGAGCAGGAGCAGAGGGGCAGAGGGAGAAGCAGACTCCTCACCAAGCAAGGAGCCCAGTCTGAGACTCCATCCCAGGACCCTGTGATCACGATCTGAGCTGAAGGCAGATGCTTAGCCGCCTGAGCTACCCAGACCCCAGACGCCCCGTCTTTCCCATGGATTTCTGGCCTGCCCAGGCAGTGTGCCCAACAGGTGTGCAGGCCCAAGCCTTCTCACTGCATTTTGCTCTGGCCTCTTGGCCACTGCCAAAATCACAGGACAGGTGCCCATCATTCCGGCTAGTAATTTCACCCCTGATCACCCCTGCAAAGGCACAAAACCCCTCTTTGCTCCTTTCTTCCACAACCAGAAGCCCTGTAATAAGGGTGTAGAGACATACACGGTGCAGTCCAACTTAGTGGTGAAAGCTTGGATTTTACAGGCTGGGCTCAAACCCCGACTCCAGCAATGGCCGGTTGCGTGAATTTGGGAAAGTTACCTCATCGCTCTACGCTTGCATTCCCTCCTCTGTGGGACGGGGGTAGTGATGGTGCCCTTCACAGGGCAGTGGTGCACGTTAAACAAATCAGTGCACGTCCAGCGCTCCAGGAGTGAACGGCACATACACATAGTAAGCGCTAAGAGGTATCCACTCTCCCTGTTTTCTCCTACAGCAGGTCGCTGGCCTGCATACCAGCCAGTTTGGGAACTTCCACCCTTAAAACTCCCTCTTCAGGGGCGCCCGGATGGCTCAGTCGGTTAAGTGTCTGCTCCCTGCTCAGGTCGTGATCCCGGGGTCTTGGGATTGAGTCCCACATCGGGTTCCCTGCTCAGCAGGGAGTCCGCTTCTGTCTCTTCCTCTCCCTGTGTGTGTGCTTGTGCTCTCACTCTCTCTCTCAAATGAATAAAGTCTTAAAAACAAAGAGAAAAACTCCCTCTCCAGGGGCGCCTGGGTGGCTCAGTCGGCTAAGCGTCTGCCTTTGGCTCAGGTCATGATCCCAGGGTCCTGGGATCGGGCTCCCCGTTCAGTGGGGACCCTGCTTCTCCCTCTCCCTTGGTGCTCTCTCTCTCTCTCAAATAAATAAATAAAATCTTAAAAAAACAAAAACCTCCCTCTCCAAGTCTGAAATGAAAGGAACTTAGTGTACACAGAGAGAACCCATTCCCCCTTTTGGTATTATACAAAACAGTGCCTTCAAGGGTAAGCTAGAGAAGCTTCAGGGTCAATTTTACAAGATAGAAGTTACTGCGAGGTGAGCCCACGAGTGTCTGTTGGGTGTGTCCTGTGAGCAGAGGCACCTGAATACCAACTACTAGACATGAGGACATTAGCGAGAAAACTAAAATAATTAAGAGAGATATTTCCTGGGGCGCCTGGGTGGCTCAGGTGGTTAAGTGAGGGCCTCTTGGTTTCCTCTGGGGTCATGATCTCAGGGCAGTGGGATGGAGCCCTGGGGCTGGCTCTGCGACGGAGTGTGCTCTCTCTCTCTCAAATCAATCAATCAACCAATCAATCCATACATCCATCAATCAATCTTTTTTTTTTTTAAGATTTTATTTATTTGACAGAGATCACAAGTAGGCAGAGAGGCAGGCAGAGAGAGAGGAGGAAGCAGGTTCCCCGCCAAGCAGAGTCGGATGCGGGGCTCGATTCCAGGATCCTGAGATCATGACCCCAGCCGAAGTCAGCGGCTTAACCCACTGAGCCACCCAGGTGCCCCGTCTGTCTCTCTTTTTAAAGATGGATTGATGGAGGAGCATCTGGGTGGCTCAGTGGGTTAAAGCCTCTGACTTCAGCTCAGGTCATGATCTTAAAATCTTAAAAAAAAAAAAAAAAAAAAAAAAGAGAGAGACAGACGTCTCCTGTCTCCCGCTTTGAAGAACTTACAAATTAAGGTAGGCAAACATAAGCAAATGTGGCAACCTCCCCTCATGAGGTCCCCTTGAACTTCCTGCGCCACCCCAGTCTCGGCCAGGGACTATCTGTGGACCCAGCAGATAAATGACTGTAGCTGAAGCCACCGCCTGTCTTCGTTTTCTTCCGAGATCAGGGCTCCCACCCCGAGCTCTCTACTGTCCCCGGTGGCGGAAACCATTTTACCCCCAGCCCCACAGTCGCGCTGAGGATGCGACGTCCCCCAGCGGCGGTTGCTTGGACTACATTTCCCATGAGCCGTTTCTCAACATCGCGAGAGCTCTCGCGAGATGTCCGAAAAGACGTTTGCGCAGGCGCGGCTCCGCCTTCTTTTTTGAGGCAGGCCGCGTGGCCAGGAAGCATGGCGGCTTCTGTCTGGGAAGAAGGGGACGAGCAGTCTCGGGCCTTTGGCTGGGGTAAGGCTGTGGAGGTGGGAAAACGAGGTTTTCGTTGAGCCGGCGCTAGTTCATTCGACTACCCCTACTCAGAGGCGGAATGGGGACGGTAGCCGGTCTCCTTCCTAGGGCGGCTGGGAGGCTTGGGTCGAGTACTGGGTCGGAAGACGCTTTCCGAGCCGCGCGTGTAGACGGAGAGCGCGGAGGCCCTCCTCTGGAGCCAGAGAGTCCCTCCTGGGCCGGGGAGAGCTGCTTCCAGCCTGTGCAGCCCCGTGCGTCGCACAACCACCGTGTGCCGCGCGTCTCCGAGGCCGGCCCACGGGGCAGGCTGCGGGGGGCGGTTCTTAATTCGCGTCCAGGGTTAGTGGCCAAGTCAGGCCCCTCGTGGAGCGCCTGGAGGACGCCCTAACCCGTAGTTCTGCTTAATCCTGCAGACCGCCGTGGATGGGACTGTCGGTTTTGGAAAGCCGCGACTCTGCAGTCCCCCCTTTCCAAGCTCATTTTTTTCTTTCCCCACAGGCTTTTCTTGGGCGTCTGCGGAGACCGTGGGCGCCAGACCTGCAGGCTGAAGCTTAAAAGTAACAGATGGATCCCTGCGGTGGGTAAGGACGGGGCCCGGCGGGACCTGCGCGGTCACCGCACGCGAGGAAGTCCGGGTGGTGGGAAGGCCTGCCTCTCACTTTCTTCGGCTGTTCAGTTCGGTTTTAGGAGCACGTGGACGCAGGAGTCTGGTTAGGGTGAGAAAACGGGACCCAGAATCCGGAAAGGAGCGGGGTCTGGGCCAGGGTGATTTGGGGCCACTAGGTGTCGCTGTGTGGAATCGGGAGGGTCACTGCACCCAGGGGTGGAGGGGAGACCGATTCAGGGAAGGGGCTCTGGTAGGCCGGGGCTTAGAGTATTTGTGGAGGATTTAAAGTTACCCTTGTCTGAAAGGACGTCTTTTGTGAGGAGTTCTGACGCTTCGAGGCTCAGATTTTTGTTTTTATTTATTTTCTTTTAACAAGTTTAGGTACTTCAATTTCTTTTCTTTTTTTTTTTTTTTTAAAGATTTTATTTATTTATTTGGCAGAGACGCAGGGAGAGAGGGAACACAAGCAGGGGGAGTGGAAGAGGGAGAAGCAGGCTTCCCATGGAGCAGGGAGCCCGATGCCGGGCTGGATCCCAAGTCCCTGGGATCATGACCCAAGCCCAAGGTAGACACTTAACGACTGAGCCACCCAGGTGTCCCCAAAGCTCAGCTGTTCAAATACCTATCTTGAGAATAACACCTTGACATTCTTTCTGTTAGAATGAAGTATGTTACCCACATTTCCCTTAGAGATTAAAAGTGTTGACTGTAGACTTTGAAAAAAGTCACGTGAAAACCATCTTAAGCTATTGAGTGTAAGGATTTTTTTTCATGAAAATTCTATAAATGGGAAGGGTTTTTTTTTTTTTTTTCCATCATTAAAAAAAAGAAATAAGCTCTTTGGCAGAATTGCAGAGATTAGGGTGTCTTTAGTGTCTGTTAGATTTCAAGGATGTGAGCCTCCTAGAATTGTTCTACCCAGATAAGGGAAGGAGTGTGGAACTCTGCTAGCCTCCTTGCCAAGCAGTCTCCCAAAAAATATTTGTTACAACAGTCTTTTTTGTTTGTTTGTTTTAAGATTTTATTTATTTATTTGATAGAGATCACAAGTAGGCGGAGAGGCAGATGGAGAGAAAAGCGGGGAGACAGGCTCTGTGCCGAGCAGGGATCCGGACGAGGGCCTCAGTGCCAGGACCTCGGGATCATGACCTGAGCTGAAGGCAGAGGCCCAACCCACTGAGTCACCCAGGCCCCTGTTACAACAATCTTAAGTGGAGTAGATACTTTGTCCTTTGCCAGTGAGTAAACAGAGGCTTAGAGTTCTACAGCTGTTTCTTGTTTTTTAAAGAACCATAAACATTTTGTGGGAGTGCTGTTGCATTTTTCAGTTTCATTGAGAAATAATTGAGTTACGATTAGCCCGGGCTTTCTCCACTAGGGTGGAGTGCGCTGTTGGTGCTGCTGAGTATCCTGCAATGCATGACAGCCCCCACCACAAAGAACCATCCAGACAGAATGTCAGAGCTGAGGCCGAAACTTTGTATTAGATGAACTTGAGAGCCCTGGGCTCCAGTCCCAGCCTGTTACCAAATAACCCCACCGGAGCCTTATTTCCTTGTAAAATAGGGTTATTGTTTTCCAGATCTGGCTGTGCATCTAAGGCTGGAGAAGTACACCTCCAGCCATGCTTGAGAATGACCCTGGAGTGAGGCCCAAGAGTTGTGTGGCCGCCCCCAAGAGCAGTCATACAGGAACAATTAGATGATCTGATCCACTTTTAGCTCGGGGAATTTTTATTACAGCAAGATTACAGCGCTGGCTATTTATAAGTAGCTCTTGGGGCAGATCTATAATCCTCTACTTAAAAAAAACTGATCTAGCTCTGTGGATCATGTTTACGCAGAGGAGAAGGAAGGAGGAGATGACCTTGAGTGGCGGTGCCTTCTGGCAGCAGGTTCCTTTGTACAGCTGGCCTTCAGAGAAGTCCCAAAGAAGTAACTGCACTTTTTTTAAAGATTTTTACTTACTTATTTGACAGAGATCACAAGCAGGCAGAGAGGCAGGCAGAGAGAGAGAGAGGGAGAAGCAGGCTCCCCGCTGAGCAGAGAGCCCGATGCGGGGCTCGATCCCAGGACCCTGAGACCATGACCTGAGCTGAAGGCTTAACTCAGTGAGCCACCTAGGCGCCCCAGTAACCGCACATTTTATTGACACTGGAATATATACCCCATACATTCGTGTGGGGTGGACTTTGTCTTTAATACATTTTTTTAAATTAAATTTTTAAAAAGATTTTATTTATTTATTTGACAAAGAGATCACAAGTAGGCAGACAGGCAGGCAGAGAGAAGGGGGGGAAGCAGGCTCCCCGCCGAGCAGAGAGCCCAATGTGGGGGCTCGATCCCAGGACCCTGAGATCATGACCTGAGCCGAAGGCAGTGGCTTAACCCACTGAGCCACCCAGGCGCCCTGGACTTTGTCTTTAAAAGGGCAGGAAGTGTCAGTCAGGTCCGGGGTGCTGGGTACATCTAGGCACTGGGTCTCAGCAGTTTTTACCTTTGAAGGGAAGTTCTTTTAATAAAGTAGACAAGATTGAGAATTTTTTTTTTTAATATTTTTTCTTTTTTTTTTTTTAAAGATTTTTATTTATTTATTTGATAGAGATCACAAGTAGGCATAGAGGCAGGCAGAGAGAGAGGGGGGAGGAAGCAGGCTCCCTGTGGAGCAGAGATCCCGATGGGGGGCTCAATCCCAGGACCCTGGGACCATGACCCAGGCCAAAGGCAGAGGCTTTAACCCACTGAGCCACCCGGGCGCCCCAAGATCGAGAATTCTTATGAGGGAAGTAAAGCCGAATTTTGTAAGGACAAAGTGGCCTGCGTGTGCTAGAAGTGTCAGCCCTGGGGGCTGGTGGATTGGCGGGAGCTGAGTCCATGATGATCTGAAGTTATCCCTGTCTGAAGGCAAAGAAAGGCCTTTCTGTGGAATATGGATGTCTGAAACTCAGTTCCCAAGTTCACTTTAAGGGAAATTTAGGCCAGATTTGAAAGTGAGCGGCTTGAGAATTACCTGTGTATATCTTGAGTAGATTTTTCTTTTGCAATTTCTCCTTGCCAGGAACAGTCCCAGCCTTGGTTTCCGAGGCTGGAAAGGATCCTGCAGAGGCAGATGGCCCAGTCCACTGCCCTGGGCCTGAAGCGGAGACTTTTGTATGTAAGTAGAGCCCTTCCAAATAGACTTGGGTGGGAGGTTTGTTTGCTGCTCCTGCCCCGGGTTTAGGATTGTGCTGGGGGCAGGGAGATTTTAACATGGGTTTGTTCCTTTGGCTGGATGTCTGCAGTATGAGAAACAGCGAAGCTGCTTTGCCTGAAGTAAGTGAAAGGACCCCTCCCCTGTTGCTTGTAGTCTCTGTTTCCATCTTCCGTGTCCCTAGGAAGCCCCACGAGCCTGTGATGTTGAGTTATCCCTGTCCGAACATCTCGGCTGAGGGGAAACCGTCTATTCTGAGGCATCGGGGTTTGGCTCTCTGCTCTTAAAGGTTCAGGCTTCATCAGGAATCAGCCTGAATGGACTCCAGAGGGAATTGTTACCTCGAGGAGACCCCAGTGGCGTGCGTCATCCCTCTGCAACTTGAAAACCAGTAGTGTGGCTGCCCTGTCACGCTCTGGGCCCTTGATCAGTGGTCCTCAGGGTACAGGCTCTGAGAGGGGGCAGACACGGGCAAGTAGCCCAGTTTCGGGTCATGTTCTTACTGTGGAATCAAAGAGTGCTTGTCCCATATTTCAAGGAAATGAATGCACTCTTTGAAACTGACGGGAATGTCGGAAGTCTGCCAGCTGTGGCAGGACTGGGACCTCCCTCAGCACCACATTGTGACATTGGGGAAAGAAGGGCTGCCGTGGCGCCAGAAGAGCTATTTGGTTTCCAGGTGCTTCGTTCACACCACCAGGGAGCTCTCCTAGGGTTAGCTCAGATCGTTTCTGGACAACGCAGTGGGCCTGGCGCTGCTCCTGGCGTGGCCCAGGGCTGAGTGGGCTGGCGTGTGACCAAAAAGTAGCCCAGTGTACTGGGCGGGGTGGTTGTCTGGCTTTGTTCCCACTTAAATGCCAGGCTTGGAGTGGGCAGATGGCCTTTGTTGTAGTTGAAATTGGGAGGTATGTATGGGCTTTTTGTATTTAAGGTCACATCATTGTTCAGTCCCCAAGGAAGCTAGATTTGGGGTGGGATTGAATAAGCCTGAAGACTGGCCCCAGCAGTTTACAGCCTGTAAGTAAAACAGTAAAAGGACGAGGTAGGGAGTCGGGAAGTCCGCTTCTTGCATTACCGTTGATGCAGAGTCCGGCGGAACTGCTCTGTGGGACTCATGCAGACCTTCAGGTTTGACTTGAAAAGTTTTACCTCCAGAAGAGGGTTGAACGAGCCGGTCTCCAGTGCTTCTTGGTGGTTTTCCCCTCGCCGGGCCTGCTCCCTTCGCACCTCAGCTGGTGAGGGCAGCCTGCTCCGAAGCGGCCCGTGCCCCGTGTTGGGTTAGCACGAGCGCTGCTGCCGTCGCCTTTCCCTCTCTAGATCGGGCTTTCGGGCCCGTACGTGACTGGCCCGCGCGCGGCTCTGCTTTGGTCTTGCAGGTCTCCTCCGCGGCGCCCGGCGGAGCCGCACTGCGTCTGTTGCCGACTGCTCATGCCCATAAACCGAGGCCCCAGAGGGAGAACAATTGGAAGGATTCTTTGGATTTTCTCTTCAAAAAGGAACCAAATAATTTGAGTGGCCGTTTACCCCGAAAAATACCTGGCGGTTAGTCAAGTCGGCGTAACTAGGAACATGCAGAGCGCCGCAGCTGAGCCGATCTGGGTGTGAGCGGGGCACTGGCAGGAGGGCGGGGACTGTGAGCGGAGAATGACGTGTACGCGCTGTGTTTTGGGGAGTCTGAGGGGGAGCAGGTGTTTCGCCTAGAAAGAGGTTTCTGAGTGGATTTCCTGTGAAGCTAATGTATCTTGGGCTTAAGATTTGAAGCATAAATAAAATTTTTTTAAAAATGTGTTTCATGTTTCATGTTGAGACCCTCATAAAGGGATTTTATTCTGAGACTCCGCAAACGTATTCTTACATAAATGAAGGTTTCTCCGAGTACTGTTTTAAGAGGGGCAGAGGGAGAGAAAGTCACAGGTAGACCCCACGCTCATTGGGGGGTTCGATCTAACCTGAGATCACCAGCTGAACTCACATCGAGTCTGATGCTTCTGGGCTCTAGGCTCAGCGGGAGTCTAATTTCTCTCCCTAAGAGTGGGGCGCTTCCCCGACTGAGCCACCAGGGTCCCCCCAAATTTCCAGAGGATGCAATCAGATGTTTTACACGTTTCCCACTAAATTTTCTACCTCTCTTAATGGGTTACCACCCACAAATGTGACGTTAGCATTTCTCAAATCTGATGGATTGACAAAGGTTCTGATAGCTACAGATGTGAGCGGAATAGGGACAAGTGAAATGTCCTGGATACAAGGGGTTCAGTCCTGACTTGGGCTACGCTGGCTGCCCTGACTTAGGGCACCTGGATTTCTTCACTAGTAACAGTCACTGTCAGATGGCGGAACGGACTGTCAATACCATGTTTCCCACATTAGACCTTTTCTTCCTGGACCAGTAGTTCTATCCAGAGAAACATACTTAGGACACTGCTGTCCCTGAGACTAAGGGACAGTTCCATGTTGCCAAGCTTAAGAGGCCATGACCTCCCGCTGGCTACTCCCCTCTAGTCCAAGCTGCTCGCCAGCCCCAGGTAGCAGTTTCAAGTAGCTGCCCTGATCGTGAAAGCCGAGGCCTTTGATCACATGAATTTCTAAAGTAGAATTTTGGTTCTGGTGACAGTTACCCTCTTGTTGAGACGCTGATAGGCTCTACTTTCCAAAACCACGGAGCCAGAGGCCAGGTCCTAGGCCTTGGTGAATTAGCCAGTGGTGATCAGTGCCACCTCGGGAAGGCTCTTGTCCCTGTAGCCAGTGTAGCGGGTCAGACTGGAGCTACTAGTCATGGGGCCAGTAAATCCCAGGGCTTAAGGGCTACATGGAGGTGACTCGGTTAGTTGAGACTTAACCCAACGGAATCCCCTGTGCTCTGTCTAAAACTGCCTATCAGCCGAGTCCGGATTTATTGAATTCGCGATGTGAGGCGGAGAGTTCTTTACCTGATCTTGTCACTTCAGTGGCCAGTGGTAATCGATCCAGTGGGACTTCCACAGGTGGGCAGCCCTCTGTGCACTTGACCCCTGTCAAATTACCACGACTGGCCCAGGGTTCTTGAGTTTTCTGAGTGATCTGCCTGCTAAACACTCCGGTGTGCCACCCCAGCCCCTTCCCCAACACACAGAAAAGACACAAGGGTCATCCTGTCATTTATGCGAGTACCTAGTTCAAATTACAGTCTGCCTTTTGCGCTCCCACTTCATCATGGAGCAGAAGGAAAGTGGTCAAGTCCTTGGGTGGTGTAGGCATGTCTTAGGGTCTGACGTCGTGGAGTTGCTGGGAGGCTGGACATGCTCGTGGGAGGGTCTGGCTGGCGAGTGTGCGAGCCTGCACTGCTGCTTGACCCTGGTCAGTGGAGATGTCAAAGTCGCCGCACCCACGTTGTCAAGTTCTCTAACAACGGCTGGCTTTGAGAGCCTCTGCTCTGAAGTGTGTTTGCCCTTCGCTGGTGAGGGTCACAGTCTCGTATTACGTTACCTTCAGTTTTCAAACACCCAGCAGAGCGGTCGTCTCCCTTTGCCCAAGGTCAGGATATCTGTCTCCAACCTCGAGGGGAGTCTTCTTGGAGAAACCAAGAACAAGATGGTGTGTCCTGCAATGAACAGGCTTCAAAAACAGTCACAAGTCCAGCTCTTATGTTCTCTAGAGAAGAAGGGGTTGGTGGAGGGGAGCTGGAGCCCTTCTCAGAGGCTGAAAAAACTGGGGGCCGCCTAGGCCATGTGAGGGGCCAGGGAGGGGGCCCACGGGTCCACAGCTCTGCAAGAACAAAGGGCTTGGGTACTTCAGGGTCAGCGCTGGTACAGTCGAAGGATGCCGGCCTTGTGCAGTTTCTTCCACAGGGTAGCTTCCAGGGACAGGTCGTGGTTCACGTAGAATATGAGTGGCTTCTTAATTCGCTCGAAATAGTGGTCTGAAAATTTCCAGTAATTGCTTGTGATGAATCCATAGGCACTAACCTGGACAAGGATAGTCACCGCATTAGCATTTACTGAGCTCTGTGCAGACAGATTTGTGAAGTGACATGAATTGGGAAAGGCACCCCCCCCCTTCCTTAGATGCCGTGTTGAAGACACGGGTGAACAGTAGTCGGAGCTCACGCTAACGGCAGGCCGTGCGCTCTTGGACACGTTCTCTCGGCCTCGGGATAACCTCAGGTGTTCTCCCCATTTCACAAATGAGGCAGCGCTCGGGGGTAAGCAGCCATGTCCTCAGTCACGAGCTAGTGAGTGGCCAGGCTGGGCTTCAAAGTCAGGTCTGTGATTCATGATCAAAGCCATGATCTCCATTGTTAAGTGTGAGGTGGAGACAAGTCCACGAGTACTTGTTCTAAGGGGAGCGCAGTCAGGGGACTGCTGCTTTAAAAAAAAATAGGAAAAGGAAGGACAGTGTCGTGGGGTGGTCCTTGGCCTCCAGCTTTTGTGCTGGCCTTAGTGGGGGTCACTGCCCTTCTTTGAAAACCACTCCTCCACCTCTGCTGGGCTCATGTGGGCGGCACTGGGAACGTCTCAGGCAGTGATTTCAAAGGCTGTGTGTGGAAGGCTAAACCTGCTGCCCAGCTCAGTTCTAGAATGTTCTCCCAAAAGGATGTCCTTTTCCACTCCTGTTGCAATTCTGCTTTCACAAGAACAGTTTGATAACATGCTCCTTAAATACCACAGGGGTGAAGGACAGAGGTCCCCGGGCAGGCGGCTGCTGGAGGAACGTGAGGCCCAGCACCTGTCCTCGGAAGGTTCCTGCCAAGCCCTCGTGGAGGTAGCTGGGGAGTAGCACTCCCTCCCGCCCCTTCTAGACACCCATTTTTGCTCCTGTGGCTGGAGAATCCCTTCCCCACAGGGGCAAATTCCTTGCCCACAGGGGCGAATCCCTTCCCCAAGGGGACAGTCCCAGGCCCCCTGGGGGTGACAGGCCTCCTGTAGGGCTTATCAGGTCAGATTAGGTTCACAGCCACACCTGCCCCCTGCTGCTGTGGGCCCCTCAAAGAGAAGGCCTCTTACCTGGTCACAGGTGTGCAAAGCCGTCAGCAGCATGAGGGCCCCAGTACTAGGCATATATAGGTCTCCAAAATTTGTGTTAATCAACTTTGATTTCAAAAACCTGGAGAGGAGAAGTGGCATCAAAACTCAAGAAAGAGGTGTAGGTCTCAGTGGATGGCTGTGCCCCTACGCTTTCCGAACCGTTCAGAACTTCCCGGCTCTTCCCCACTTAGGAGAAAACCCAAACAAAGCAAACGCAAACGTCTGGGTAACAGAATCAAGTGAGAAGAGGAGCAGGCCTGGGCAGAACCACAGGTATAATCCTTCCCTCTCCTGCTCTAGAAGCGGGACCCAGCCTGATTCCCCTTTCCTGTCTGCTACACCTTGCCTTCACCCCTGGGCTAAGTAACCACAGTGGCTAGGGGACGGGCGGCCTATTGATCTAGCCTGAAACCTGTGTTTCTTTCTTTCCAGGAGAAGTCCCTTAAGAGGCGCATGAGCAGGGCACCCAGGGCCTGGGCCCGGAGTCACTGGTGAGAGAAGTGTGCACACACTCTCAGAATCCAAGTGAGGCCACGCTACGGCGGCCACCCCGGATTCACATCTATGCTTTGCCAGACAAACCACCTAGCCTCCTGGAGAGCCTGTTTCTTCCTCTGTTGGATGGCTCGGAGTGCCGGCTCCAGTCGTCCTACCCAGAGCCACACTCGCCACCCTCCACCTGCTCTGGAGGGGGCCAGCAGGGGGCGACAGCAGGGCTTCTTGGCCATGGCGCTATTGACGTCCAAGTAATTCTTGGTTGCAGGGGCCTTCTGTGTACGGTATCCCTGTCTATGCTCGCCAGTGGCGCTTACCTAGTGACAACCAGAATGGCTCCAGAGAGAGCCATGTGACACTGCCCCCCACCATTGGAACCTCTGGTAGGGGAGAGGGACTGAGGGCGGGGAGGAGGAGTGAGAGCAGGCTGTTATTCCCGGGTTCCTCCCTGTGGTCGCCTTGGGAATGCCTGCGTTTGGGCCCAGAAGAGGTTGGCTGTCCCTGTGGGTTACTGTCCGGGGCATAAAGCCTGCAGAGATGGGTGGGTGTGCAGGGGGATGGGAGGGGGAGCTGTTCTCTGTGTACCCTCCCCACCCCAACACCTACCTCTCCCTCAGGTAGCTGATGAAGTCTGGATGTAGTAGCTTGAATTTCCTGGCAGAGGCTTCCGGTCCGAAGTAGGTCTGAGGCCTAGGACCCATGAAAGAAGTGGACAGAGCGGCCCGGGCCGTCATACGGCAGGTTGGGGAGCGAGGTGAGGGCAAAGGTGCTGGGCCTGCGGCGGTGCGTGCGGTACGGGCGGGGCTGGGTGTAGTAGCGGGAGAAGGGTGTGTAGAAGGTGGCCGGCAGCACCGTGGGCACCACGTGGGGCTTCCCGCTCACCAGAACCTCGGTGGGTGGGGTGTAGGTGAGCGAGGAGGGGGGCGTGAACAGGGATGGAGGGGTCGGGTAGGAGCAGTTGACCCGGGGGTGGTGGGGAGGAGGTGGGAGCAGGGGGAAGTAGAAAGAGTCAGGGAGAGGAGGGGGCTCCCGGGCTGGGCAGGGGAAGGAGCAGGGGAAGCACTGGTTCTGGGGCAGGGGTGCGGTGGGGGGCTGGAAGAAGGGGGGTTCCTTCAGGAAGCGGGGCACGTAGGGGGAGATGTAGGATGGGATGCCCCGAATGGGCCCGATGTAGGAGGCTGAGGTGGCGGGGCTGCGGGAAGGGGACCGGGGGATCGGCACGGGAGGAGTTTGGGAGGAGTTTCGGGAGAGGGATTTCAAGCCAGATTGGGAAGGAGATTTGGAGGTGGGTGGGGTGGGGTTTTGGGAAGACCCTCGGGGCACATGTTGGATATGAGGGCTGGGGGTTAGGGATGAAGCCCGGGAGGAGGGCTGTGAGGCAGTTGGGGTGACAGGGTGAGAGGGGGGCCGGGAGGAAGACCCCCGGGTGGGGGACGGAGAGGGGGCTGGGCCAGCAGAGCTGGAGTAGGCCTGCTGGTTGGAAGGGACGATGTGGTTGGACCGGGACTGGGAGGGGGACTGGGTAGGGGACGGATTGGGGGTATGGGAGGGGGAGCTCATTGGTGTTGGGGAGGCTTACGACCACCCGATCGATGTCTCTGAGCCAGCCCCCCCAAGGGCCCAGTCCCCCCCGTGTCACAAAGCCCACCCTCATGACCAGATGCCTCGTCAGGAGTGATTGTTGGATCGTCATGGGCGGGGTGGGGGGGGTGTTTTCAGGTGGCCAGAGCAAGCGGGCCTGGCCTTTGAGGGCTTAATCCCTAAGGATCTTAGAATCTGCTCTTTTGGGGGTGGGCGGCCTGGTCTGGGAGCACTGGGATAGGAAGGCTGGTTTTTGTGGCCACAGAGGAGGCACAGATACCTAAGGATTTGACTTTGGGACGAGAAATTGTCTCAGCACCACAGGGGGAAGGTCCAGCTGAGGCCAGGACAGGGTTCAAAGGAGCTGGACACCAGCCTGCTGCCCAGGAAGGTGCGGGAGAAAAGACAGAGTGCCCTTTGTTCTCTCTTTGCCGGACTCTGGGCCCATGTCATCTGCTCTCCAGTTCATGGGCACAGTCCTGGGAGGATGCCCATGGGGACGAGTGGCATGGATACCAGCCCCCCCCCCTTTGCTTCCAGACACCGTGTGCTCAGCCGGCCAGCAGTCAGGAGCGGACAGGCACAGCCCGTGCTGCCGGCCGGGGGGGCTGTGTGTGTTCGGGGCTACAGCCTGCCTCCTTGGGTGGGCTCCTGGGGACCGGGAGGGCTACCCGGGCTCCTCTGGGGGTAGGGAAAAGAGCATAATTCCCCAGTAGTCTGTGAATTCTTGGAGATTTTCTTGCTGTCCTCACCCACCTTCCCACCCTGACAGTGGGTCCAGCAGTGCCACACCCCACACCAGCTTGGCTGCTCACCTGTCCCCTTTATCAGGGCCCTCGGGGACATCCACACCCAGAATGGCCGATCTCAGCATCACATAGTCCCGGATGTCAGAGGGGATGAAGATGTAGTGCAGGTCCTGTCGGGGCGACAGAGACACTGATCCAGTCCCCCCAGCCCCCCGAACAGGACCATGTCCTGCTCAGCCCGCCACCTGGTCCTGCCACCTGTCCTGATGGGAGAATTTCTGCTCTCTGCCTGGAACCCCCCCCCCCCCCCCCCCCCCCCCCCCCACTGGTCTCCCTCTCCTGGTTTCAGTACTTGCTCACAAATCTTTGGGCATGCTGCAAGAGGTGCGGCTTCCTTGCCATCCCCTTGAGTGACTAATGGATGGAACGAAGCAGAAGGGATGGTGTGTGACAACCTTGACTGTGGCCTCCGTCAAGCCTTCAAGTGCCCGTAGCCCCTGTGGATCCTGGCAAACACCCAGATCCTGAGCTAAGACCACCCTGCTGAGCTGTTCCCAAATTCCCGACCCTCTGAAACTGTAAGATAATAAATGTATGTTGTTTAAAGCTTCTACTAAGTCTGGGGTGATGTTAACACCGTGGTAACTCATGCAGGTAGTGTGGCCAGAAATGTGCTCTTTTTTGTTTTGTCATGAGCTAGGAGAGGTCCTGCTCTGGCTAGGACACTCCTGAATTTCCCACTTAGAGGAGGAAGCTTCTAGAAACTCAGCCCAGTCCTACTGGGATCTCCCCCCTTTATGTGGCACCCAAACGGCTCCTGAAAGAAGAGCGGTGTTCCCGCAGCTGGGTGTGTCAAGAAGCTGGAGGCGGTAGGCGGCCTCGGATTCCGGCTCCCCCACTTCCTGGCTGGGCACGCAGCCCCGTGCCTTTGAACCTCAGCCTCCCTCACAGGCTGCTGTGGGGTCAGGAAGGCCACTCAGGGAAATGGGAGACAAGCCTCAGTGCTCATAAGATCAGGGGGCCCTGGAGGCAGCTGATTTTTTCAGTGGCCCCATCCCAGGCACCCAGCATCCTGGCACAAGCTCTCTGTCTACTGGACTGGGGCCACTTGGTTCGCCACACAGAGGGCGCTCTGGGAACAGTGGCACTGACCGTCCGCGACAGTGGCAGGCCCATCAGAAGCCTCACCTGGCCTTGTGGCACGGAGGTGAAGCCAAAATTCTGGTAGGAGATGAGGGAGTTCTTCATTGTGTTCACGGTGAAACCGTAGAAGGAGGTCTTGGTGCCCACATCCTTCTCAAAGCCTTTGATCACAGCACCATTGAGTCTGGTCCAGACAGAGGCCCATCAGCCTCCCGATGGTCACACCATGCTGTGCTGTACTTCCGCACCTGTTCCCAGGCCTCTGTGCAGACCATGTCCCTTGCCCAGGGAGGCACCAGCGCTGGTGGCCCATCCCATCCAGCCCTTCCCTATTCCTCCAGACCTCAAGGAAATGGGCACATCTGGCCCTGGTGGCTCCCTCCCCACTGGCTTGTGGCACCCACACTCCCACCTTCAGGGTCTGTCCCCCTGTATGCCTTTGTCCGGGCCCACCTGCCTATTCCGGGGCTGCCCCTGCCCATGGCCCTCCCCGAGGATGCTCCTCCAGGGGCCGGTGGGGACTAGCTCCGTTTCCCGCTCCTCCCCACCTCCTGCGCCCCATACCTGAACACGTAGTCATGGGCGTCAATGTTCAGCCCCTGGCGGGAGCCATTCAAAATGCCTCCGTTCCCCACCACCGCACACCGAATGCACTTGGAGAGCGGCTTCCCGGAGGCGGCGTACAGCCTGGAGCTCTCGGAGCCATTCAGGAGGCTCAGGGTGGAGTTGATGGCTGTGGGTGCCAGACAGGGCAGGGTGCCATGGGGGTGGGGTGCTGTCCCATGGGCCGGGGCTGTGCCGAGACTGTTTCTGGCACGCCACCTGCCAGAGGCCTGACACCAGCCCTAACCAAGGCACGGGGCGGGGGGGTGCGGAGAGCGCAATGTTGGGCTGAACCGGGGGGAGAGGATTCGACTGTACCCTCAGTCACCTCAAGAACTTGAATCACTAGTCCTCTCAAAACTGAATGTTCACAGTAAAATAATCTGAGGCTCGCGGGGGTTGGGGGGCAGAGTGAGCGTGGGGGTGGGGTCTCTGGGCAGTTTCCCACTGCGGGAACCACAGGCGGGCTGTTCTTGATCACCTTTGGACACTGGTCCCAGGAGCTGCACATCAAACCCTCCCTGACCCCTGGTGCTGGCGAGTATAGCAGGTGTCACACAGCAGCGGGGGGGCGGGGGGGCGGTGTCCGAGCCTGGAAATTTACTTGGGAGCAAAGGGGCAGGGTGGGGGTCCCCATAAGGTGCTGTGAGGGCAGGGTCGGCATGTGGGCCCAAAGCAGGAGGAAGGGATTCTCTGGGGTCAGAGGGCTGGGCAAGAAGCAGCCGCTTCCGGTTACCTTGGCGGGAGAGCCCCTGCCAGCCATAGGGGGCTTTATGCTGGCTCAGCCTGTCCCAGAGCTCCTGAGTGAAGAGGGCCCCCGAGAGCAGTACTGGAATGGAGAGATCGAACAGGGTGCGGAAGTGGGGGTGCTTCTGGATGGCCTGATAAAGTGGGTGTTGGCAGTGCGGGCTCTGTGGGGCAGGAGGCAAGAGGGCCAAGCTCCATTAGCTGAAGGCTATGGCGGGTGGGAACCTTCCTATGGGAGCCTGCAGACCCCTGCAGGATGGTTGGGTGGGGGGGGGAAGATCTGCTCTTCCCCTCCGGACTTGGTCCACCAAACCTGCCCGCTGAGCTGGCTTGTGGCCCAGCAGCGTGGTGGGGTCAGCTTTCTGGATTTACCCAAGCCCAGTCCTCTCTCTCCCTCCTGGATGCCACCCTATCCAGGGCCTGATGGCTCTGGCCTCCTATTCCTTCAGTTCACACCTAGGGAAACTGTGGCGCACCTTCCCACCAAATGTGTAAGACCTGCTGGCCCTTTGATGGAGGAATTCCAGCCTGGGCTTTGGAATCTGTCAGTCTGGACCCAAATCCTAGCTCTGGCCATCCTCACCTGCCTGCAGCCCCTAATGTCTGAATGCCTCACTGCCTCGGCCTGGCTGGGGCTCCCCTTCCCACTGAAGGGGGCTCTTTGCTAGGCCGCTGGTTTGACCAGGGCAGGAAAGAGCCGTACAGTAAGTTCTGCTAGAACGTTACCTATGGATGCCTAAAAACCAAGCGCACTAGGCAAAACAGGTACCGTCAAAACCACAGGGCTTTGGGGCCAATGGGATCAGGGGCACAACACTCAAGAGCTTGGTCTGTGGTTGACTGGACGGATGAGGGGCCTAACAAAGCTGGAGGCCCAGGCTCACTCACCCCGTGGTTAAGATCTGCCACGTTCTACTAAACACGTGGCCCTTGGCCTTGGAGGAGACCTGACGTTTGCTTGTGCGAGTGGGCGTCAGAAAGATGGGACTTGAGAGTTACTGGGGAGTGGTGAGAAGAGGGTTAGAACCCTGAAGTGCTTATCTGACGGGCACATGTGTGCACACTTCGCGTATTCTTCGTGGCTCCCTCGGGTTGGGCGTGGGTCTCTGCATTTACTCTTCGTGTTCGCAATGAGAGTCACCCAGAGGCAAACACAAAGTTTGTGTTATGCTCAAATTGTTTCCTAAGATACCAGTCTTGCTGGAACAAATTCAAATTTGAAAACAAATTTTCAAAGCAGGCTTTCTGGAAGAACTGACGACTAATATCATTACCGTTCAGTTCATCTCTGGGGTGTTTTCCAGGGCCGCCTTTAAGAGAGGCCAGGGGAAAACTCCCCGGTCTTTGTATTGGGAAAGGCTGTGCTCCAATTGGGCAGCTGGCTTGCTATTAGCTCATGGACACAATGGCAAATTTCCTTCTTCCCCGGGGCCACCAGGAAGCTCAGAGCCAGATCTATGGCCTATCCCTTACACCTTGTGGCTGATCTTCCATGCAGTTATCTACATGACATTGTTTGATTCTCCTACCTTTATTCTGCCATTTCTTCATTTTATTCTATATTTTTGACTTGTTATGTGTATCCAAAAGCCACCCAGAATCCTTTTTTTTTTTTAAACCTGGTTCAGATACGTTTGCATCAAGCAGCACAGGTGCACAGGGCTTTAGGAAACTTAAAGACGACCCATAAGCTCCCATAAGATGCTTGAGGCTTCTCTTTGGCCTTGCACGCCAAGGGTCCACCCCGCCTCTGTTCTCAAGACGGGGACCCCCCCTCACCTGCCCAGGGCTACTAGCTCCGTCTCTGTACAGCTCAGCTGTCGCTAGGTTTGACGTGCAGTGAAATCTTTTCTCCCCTAAGGCCGCACTAACAAGTCCCAGGTTAGTGTCTTGTGTCTTGGGCACAGCTCTTAAACCTGAATGAGCCAGGACCTGACCTCTCTGCCTCACTGTGTCCATCTATAAAAGCTACACGAGAGGGGTGCCGTGTGGCTTTTGCACGAGAACGTGGGTGAAGTGCTCCAGGCAACATGATTTATGACAGAGCAGGGCCCAGAAGGTTCTCAACCCCGTAGGCAGGCATGGAGCATCTTTCCAAGGTTTGTTGGTCTACTCCATGGAGATCCGTTTAAAAATTGTGTGAATTTCATAACAAGAAGGGATTTTATAGTAAGAAGGTGCCTGGCTGGCTCAGCCTGTAGAATACCTGACTCTTGATCCCCGGGTCATGAGTTCAAGCCCCGAGGTGAGTGCAAAGAGTACTTAAAAATAAAATCTTAAAAAAAAAAAGGCATTCTGAGTAGAATGTCAAATTCACGGGCCTTTTAAAGATAAATTACAAGGCTTCCCAAGAACTCTTCTCCTGGCTACACCCCTTCTCTGCTCCTGGGGTACAGGGAACCCTGGTGGCCAGGTCTGGCTGGCCACTCAGCTCGAAGCTTCATGTTTATGGGGTCCAGAGAGCTCCCCCCAGCAGTCTCACGAGAACGTTCTCATTTGCTCTCTTTGTCCCCACCTCCCCGCTAACTTGATGCTCGAAATCGCAAGGAGAGTCGGCCATTGTACCTTTCTCAGTCCAGCGTTTGATGCCTTGTGTCCAAAGAATGCTCGAGATGATGTGGCATTCCTGGGGGAGAAGCAGAAGCAAAGCAGGGCTCAGACCTGTCCCTCGGAACCTTCTGTCTGATTCTTAGCCCCGGAGGCTGTTAAAGCCTGTCAGAGTCAAAGATGGCATTCCTTTGATCTTGCCATGCTCTGATTTGTGCCCATGTCTCCCTCTTTAGGAACAAAAATATTGTCACATTAGGGGCTCCTGGGTGGCTCCATTGGTTAAGCGTCTGCCTTTGGCTCAGGTCATGGTCCCAGGGTCCTGGGATCGAGCCCCACATCAGGGTCTGTCTCCTTCTCCCTTTGCCTGCTGCTCCCCCTACTTGGCCTGTCAAATAAAATCTTTTAAAAAATATATATTGTCACATTAGTATATTTTGCTCAGCTCTCTAAACCCAGAAATCTAAGAAATCCCATGGCAAGTGGCAAAAATGTAGAGTTTACAAAACTGTGAGATCTGGTTCAAGGATGAAAACATACACTAGGCGAGCTTGCCAGACCCCTCCCGTCATCTGAGGGAGCTCCCTGCCAAGTCCCCAGAGACAGATGGTCGGTCTCAGATGATGTGGTCCCCCTTCCCCTTGGGGTCGGTCATCCTGGCTCCTGCCCTGTGGCTCCCCATAGAAGACACGTGTCTGAAGGCTCACTCCCTAGGTTTATACCCCACGGTCTAGGGAAGTTACTTCTAGAAGCCTTGGTGTCTATATCTGGGCAGCAGATATAATCAACTGATTCATTATCATTATTAATCATATCACATCTCCAGGGCGCCTGGGTGGCTCAATCATTAAGTGTCTGCCTTTGGCTCAGGTCATGATCCCGGAGTCCTGGGGATCGAGCCCCACATTGGGCTCCCTGCTCGGCGGAAAGCCTGCTTCTCCCTCTCCCACCCACACTTGTGTTCCCTCTCTGTCTCTCTCGATCAAATAAATAAATAAAATTAAAAAAAATCATATCACATCTCCAGTTGTTGGAAGGGTTCACACAGAGACTCGATATTATCTCACACAAAAAGTGTCCTCTAAATGGTAGCTATTGTTACCTAAAGGAGGAAGGGAAAGGACCTTGTTATGACAACCTCTACGACTGTGTCCCTTTGGGAGGGAGGGAAGGGGCCCATGTTACTGCTCCGCCCCTACTCCCACCTCCCAGGCGACCCCTGTATTGGGGAGATGGCAAAGAGCGTAGAAGGAATAGGGGCCTTTGTCTACTCAAACGGGTGTCCGGCTTCTCCTGGACTCCTGTCTCCCCCAGCCCCCACAGCCACAGGGAAGCAGGTGGGGAGGACTTTGGATCACCAGGCTGTTTGCAAGGAAACAGAGGCCTCTTGTTCTTGCTTCTGACCTGCTGAGCCAGCTGGGCCACAAGGGAGCCTGCCTGTGACCTGCCTCACTTCAGGTTTCCGTAGAACCCCACAGGGCAGACGGGGAGGGGCAGGGATGATCCCTTCCCCCATCTCTCCCTTTCCCCCTCGGATGGCCACCTGCCCCCCACACCCTGTAGTTCCTCTCCTCAGTACAACAGAACAGCCTCTCAAGAGGAACCGGGACCCCAGGACACAGCCTCAGGGGAGGTGACGATTCCCAGGGAGCGTCTGAAAAACACCTGCGCACAGGGCCTCACCCCTGCAGTTCTGATCTGACTGGTCTAGGCCTCCTGGACAGGTGATTCTGTGGGAGCCGGGCTTGAGAACCAGAGGAGGGAGCTGCTGGCCAGGGCAGCTTGGAGACCAGAGGGATAGAGTTGCAGGCGAGGGGTTGGGGAGCCCCCCTCCCAGTTCTGTTTTGCTGCCCTGAACATCCCAGTCTAGGGAGGCCTTCTTATCTCCAGAACCCCCCTCTGTGCTCTGACTTCTCCCAGCCCTCCTTAGGAATTCAAGGGCTTCTAGACACACCTTCTAGATGAGCCCAGAAGAAGTGGGGAAGGGAGCCAGCCCCCCTATGCCCCTCCCGCAGATTTCACTGGCCTGAGGAGAAATAAGGACCTTGTACAGTAGTCCTCCCCTACCCTGGGGGTAAGCTCCAAGACCCCCAGTGGATGCTGTGACCGTGGACAGTACGGAACTCTGCGCATGCTATGTTTTTTCCTCCTTTTCATGCAAAGGAATGCTAAAGTTTACTTTATAAATGAGGCACAGTAAGAGAAAAACAACAATTGATAAAATAGGACGATCATAACAATATAACGTGAGTGTGGTCTCTGTCAATATCTGACTCTGTGAATATCACCCTTCTTGCACCGGTGGGGCATGACAAAATCGGAGGGGGAGGGAAGTGATGGCCGCACGGTGACTTACCATTCTTTCAGGCTCCTACTGACCTGTCTGTGGGGGGGGGGAGGCTGATCTGCTTCCAGACCTGACTGGGGGTGAGTGACTGACACAGAGGAAAAGCCAAACTGCATATAAGGAGGGAGCCCTGCGGTACATTTCCCATAAAACAAAGTCTACTCAATTTGGATCTACTCTTAGGAATTCTAGGCCCCTGGATGTCCTTTCTTTTATAAAATAATGTTGACAACAGACAGTGTCAGATAACCAGGGCAGCCTATATCTATCCTTACCACCACCACCCCACCCTTAAAAAGGATTTTTTTTTAATTATTACTTTTTTCTCTCTTATTTATTTGGCAGAGAGAGAGAGAGATATCACAAGTAGGCAGAGAGGCAGGCAGAGAGAGAGAGGGGGAGGGGAGCAGGCTCCCCACTGAGCAGAGAGACCCGATGCTGGGCTCGATCCCAGGACCCTGAGATCATCACCTGAGCTGAAGGCAGAGGCTTAACCCACTGAGCCACCCAGGTGCCCCCCAAATTACTATTATGTTTTAAAGATTTTATTTATTGGGGTGCCTGGGTGGCTCAGTCGGTTGGGTGTCTGCCTTGGGCTCGGGTCGTGATCTCTGGGTCCTGGGATCAAGCCCCGTGTTGGGCTCTCTGCTCGGCAGGGAGTCTGCTTCTCCCTCTCCCTCTGCGCCTCCCACTGCTCTCTCTCTCTGTGTCAAATAAATATATAAAATATTTAAGCGGGAAAAAAAAAGATTTTACCTATTTATTTGACAGAGAGAGACAGTGAGAGAGGGAACACAAGCAGGGGGAGTGGGAGAAGCAGGCTTCCAGCGAAGAAGGGAGCCTGATACAGGGCTCCATCCCACGACCTTGGGATCATGACCTGATCCAAAGGCAGAAGCTTAACAACTGAGCCACCCGGGCACCCCCCTTTTTTTTTTTTTTTTTTTTTTTTTTAAAGACAAGTCTAGATATCCCAATGCCTGGAAACTCCTGACCCAGATTGTTCTGCCACAGGTGAATTCCCGGGCTGGCTTCCCCTGTCCAGCCTGCAATGACAGCCCTCAGGTGCGGAAAGACCAGGCCCCAAGGCACTCCAGTTCCTTCCCAAGCTCTCCAGGTGGCCAGGCCATCTGCTTTCCCACCCCAGGGCGGGGGGGGGGGTGTCACACAGCCTGCTCCCCACCCACTCTCTGGGGTACTCAATACCCACCCCCTACAGCGGGGCCCTCCTGGCCAGCCCCTGGGGCTCAGCCAAATCGCAAACCTTAGGGGAACAGCAAGAAAACGGACACGTTCTTGGCTGGTATGAGCTTTTTAAAAAGAGGAAAGACCTTTCTAAACTTCCGTGGAGGCATAGTGGATGTCCCACACCCTCACATTTGAAGTTTATTAGATACTTTCAAAGGATGTTCAAATGTGTTTTAAAACATTTTTACGTAAAATTCACAAAGGATTCTTTCTTAAACCACACCTTCCACCTTCCAGGCCCTCGCCTTCTGCAACTCCTGACTACCCGCAGGTGTAGTGGCTCCAGGTCCCCGCAGCCGGCACCTCTCTGTTCTAGAGCCACTGGGCTCCTAAGGATTTGCAGGTGTTCTCGTGCTGTTTTGCAACTTTAGATGCCTTCGGACCGCGTTTCCTGAGAACGGATAACTAACTTGCCTTCCATCCCGTCGGTTCGGTGAGGAGCGCGCAGATGGGGAGGCGCTCCGACGGCAGAGCCCGGCCTCGCGGGTGGGCGAGCCTGTGGGGGGGGCCCTGGCGGCCCCCTAAATCCAGACTCCTGCACAGCTCGATTCGCCTCCGGACGGAAAACCAAATTCTTCAGTACCTGGCACCATCACCTACCGACGCAGGCTCGGAGCTTCGTCCTTGCCCGGCACACATGCAAGGAAGGTGCGCGCTGGGCGAGCGGAGGGAGGGGAGCCCGGAGGCGGGTGTTGGGGGGGCTTGGACGGAGCCCGGGATCGGCCCCTGGTCCCGGGGGGTTGGCCGCCGCTTCGCCAGAGCGCGCGCAGACGGCGCTTTATCAAAATAAACGCAGCGAACGGCGCGCGGGCCAGAGCCGCGACCCGGCGCGGGGAGGGCGCAGACGGAACCGGGAGTCTTGGGTCCCTCCCCCAAAAGTAGAGTCGGAGAAATGTGACGTTAGCGAGGAACGGTTCTTGACAAAAACGGGGCTGTTTTGTCCGACCCCGACGACCCAGCCAGATCTGGACAAAGTGGAATCACGGCCGGAGGGATGAACCCACAAGGCCCCGCGGAGCGAGTAGCCAGTGCGCAAAGGGGCGAGATTCCCCTCGGGCCCCGGCAGAGGCTGTGGGGCCCGGGTGGCGCAGGTTGGTGGCCCCGGTGGAGGCTCTGGGGACAAAGGGCCGCGGCCCGAGTCCCCGCCGCGAGCCACCCCAGGGAGGCCGACGCGGCGGGCAGACTGAGAGGCCTCGGCTGGGCGCCCCGCGCCACCCCCACACCCCCTGGTCGGACGGCGCTGCAGCCCCTACCTGGCTCCGGACCGGGGCCCCGGGTACGGCCCCACTGCCGAGGAGTACAGAGTGAAGAGGATCCCCGAGCAGGCAGCCGCGAGCAGGAGCAGCAGCCAGAAGAGCTGGCCGCGCGGGAGCCCCATGCAGCCCCGGCCCGCGGGCGCCCCGTCCGCCGCCGTCCCGGGCCGAAGGGAGAGGCCGGGGCGGGCCGGGTCGGCCTCCCGGAGGCGGCCGCCCAGCCCCACGGGCCCTGCCCTCCTCCAGCCCCCGCGGCGCCTCCCCGCCCAGCAGCTCTCCTCCTGCCCGGGCTCGCCGCACCCTCGGGGGGTGCGTTGGCGGGTCCCGGGGGCGGGCGTGTCGCCCCCTCCCCCACCCGCTCGCGGAGCTGCTCGAGCCCCTCTGGCGCTCTCCTCGTTCCCGGGCACTTGGGCTGCCGGCACCTGCGCGAGCCGGGGTTTGGCCCGGGCGTTGTCCGGCCGCGGTCAGGGGCAGGCGCGCGCGGGCCGGGGGTGGGGTGGGTGCCCGCGAGAGGGGCGGGGCGCGGGGAGACGCCGCCACCTGCCGGGTGGGCCGAGCACTGCTGGCTCCCGGCCAGCTCCCGCGGCTTCCGGACGTCTGACGCCGGGCAAGCCGCGGCGGGGGCGCTCCCCTCGGAGGGACCCTCGGGACCTATCGGTCCGGCCCTGGCACCTCGGCCCCGTCCAGAAGTGCGGGAGAAAGGACGGGCCGGGGAGGATGGAGAAGCCGACCCTGGGTCGGAGGTGGAAGGGACAGGGGAGGCAGGGCTCCCAGAGGCGTAGGATGGGTGGCCGTCCCGGGCCGCCGGGACCCTCAGTCCCTTTGCATTCCGTTTCCAAACCCCGGCCAGCCTGGAGCTCTCCGCGGCAGAGAGACGGCCTGAAAGGTCCCGCAGGGCCTCTGGTGTCACCAGATTGGGCGTCACCTGGAAGGGCAGGGCAGCTCTGCACCCCCCCCCCCCCCCCCCCCCCCCCCCGCCCCAGACCCCGCTCTCAAAGAGCCCTCCACGGGCGCGAGCGGCAGGTGGGACGGTATATTCGCCGGCAGACAGCATCCAGGGTCTTCGCCTTCCAAAGCCTGGGAGAGCCCCCAGCCCCCAGCTGTCTGGAACTTCAAGGATGAGAGGCGCCCGTCCCTTCCAGGAACGTTCTGCCCTCACCTGTTCTCCACCTGTGCGAGCAAGTCTGGGCGAAGCAACAGGTATCCATCCTCTGCAAGGCTTCCCGGGAAGCTGGGGCCGGCGCCTGGGGCGGTCAAGGGTCATTCAGGCTCCGCTCTCTCACCTCCTCTTATGGGGCCAAGTCACGGTCACGGGCGGGCACTCACAAGGGGACCGTTGTTCCCTTCATTCCAAGACTGTCCGCACATGGAGCTGCTCCTTGCTACCGTCTTGACAGGCACGACTCAATCAATGGTTTCATCTGTTTCATTTCCATCTTTGTGGGTTTTAGTCATCAAAATCCCTGTAGATGTTACTTATCCCTTGATCAGCACCTTATCCCCTTTCTTCAGTGGTTAATAAAACACGGGACCCTCTCTCTGAGCCCGAAAATCCCACGCCCACTCTTGCTCTAAATGCCTCCTACTTCATGGAGAAAGGGAATCCTGTTAATTTCTCCTTCTCCCTCTCCTTCTTTTCAGACTTACTGAGACTTGTTTTGTGGCCTAATGGTTGATCCATCCTGGAGAATGTTCCATGTGCACTTGAAGAGAATGTGTCTTCCACTGTTTTGGGTGGGATGTTCTGTATATATCCGTTAGGTCCATCTGGTCTAAAGTGTCCTTCAATGCCAACTATTCATTTCCTCAACTTTGCATCATTAAACCTATAAACTTGGCCCCACCCCAGCCCAGCCTTCACCCGTTTGGACTCCAGCTTAAGATGTGTGTGTGTGTGGGGGGGGCTTCTGTGCTCCTGTGTGGGAGTTGGCCCCCCACCACCTGTGTTAACGACTGGAGTCTACTTTCATTGCCTTTAATACCCCACTCAGACCAAGGCCTCCCGTCTGTCCGTCCCCCCAGCATTCTCATTCTTCGTCTTCTATAACCTTATCCAGCCTCCATCTCTCTGCCCCTGTGTGCCTCCCAGCGTGTCAGCCCCGAAGCTTTCTTTCGTGTCCAGGCAGGAAAAGCTTATGACCCCTGGGGGTCATCATCCAAACTACTCTTTCATCATAACCCGAATCCCCTGTGTTCCTGGCTTTCTGCCCAGCCAAACCCTCACCTGGATTCATGCTGAGATCTGCCGCCCACGCCCTGGCCTGGCTAGCAGGTGCTGGGAGTAACATTCAGCTTCAGCCGGGCTTTCTACACCTGCCGTTTTCTAGTCCTTGGTTAGCTCCAGCCACCCCCCTGTACCTCTCTGGCTAGGGGAAGTCCATGTGTCTCTGTGGTTACCTGCGGCACGCCTGAAACTGTCTCCCTCCCGGCCCCCCGTTGATGCCACCAAGGGCCTTCATCATTCCCAGGAGAGCAGATGTTTTCCATTCTAACGCTGCTACATCTGCCTGCTGCTGCCCCTCAGAACAATTTGTTACTTAAACTGTAATAACCCCTGGAGGATTTTACTAGTTGCCAAGCACATTTAGGTATGGCCTTAAGAAAAACATATACTGGCAACAGGTCTTTGGGGAGAAGGACGATACACGACCGTGAAGCTGGGCAGCCGGGAACGCCCAGGGCGGAACGCCGCCTGCTTCGGGGAAGCCGAGCACCCGGAACGCCGGGTCAGCTCAGGGAGGAACGAAAACCGCCTGCTTCCCTTTTCCGTGATCGCTCCTTTCTCTTCCCAGAAGCAGCCGTTGTTAGTTAGATGAGTCCTTTGAATGTGCTTGGTTAACAATAAACGTTGTCCTCCTCCTCGCTTGTCCGCAAGACGTGACTAACGTTTGACCTTCATCGGTCCTTCTGTTGGCTATTGTTTCTATCTAATAAAAGTGAGACTGTGGAGGTGCTCGTGGCAGCCGTCCTCTTCGACTGTCGTCCCCTGCTCCCAATCTCTTGCAGCTGACTTGTTTGTGTGCCTAATTCTTCTCCCGTCGCCGACTGGAAGCGGCATCTGCCTCTGAATTTGAACTTGACAGTGTCCTCGTGGTTACTTTAGGTCTTTGTCCGTTAAAGCCAGTATCTGGCCACGATCACAGGCAGTTCCTGCAGTTGCCTTTTTCCAGTGTGAGAGCAGAGTCCTGCTTTCCTGCTTCTTTGCTTGTCTCCTACGTCTTTGTTGGAAACTGAACACCTTAGGTAATCTATTGTAACAACTCTGGGTACTGGATCCCCAGTCCCCATCTCAGGCCTGTTCTCTGCTTGTTTAATGACTGGGTGGCTTATTTTAGTGAAGTCTCCCACCCCCGAGTCCCGTGAAGTGTTAAACCTTTGATGTTGCCCTGCAGGAAAGTGTGGTTTGGGGTGTACGTCACCCTAGGTTGGCAACGACTTGGCCTGGGCTCGCTACACCTCTTCCCTGACCATATCCAGCTGTTCAGCTCCATTAATTGCTAGCTGATTGCTTTACGGTTTGTAATAATGTCCTGGGGCAGAAATTGCTTGATAAGACTCCCACTCCTCTTCAGGAGTGGCACCTGAAGTTAGGGTCTCTACTAGCTGTCGCTTTCCCTGGTTCTCTCCTGCAAACCAGCTGGCCCACACTTGAACCTGTATCTTCATCAAATCTACCAATCTGCTCCCAGTTCCCTCTCACCACAACCACCACTGTTTTCGGGAGCACCCCTAGGGGTGAACTTCTCCACTCTCTTTGCAAATAAAGTCAATTCCTTTGGGAAGAGATTAGGACCTATGTAGGGTATAGCCTGCTTCTGTCCCCCGGCCAAATCTCTGAGCCAGGGCTCTGGAACTGGGGTGGGGACCATGGTGTGCTTCTCTCTGAGTGATACATTTCGGTGTTGAGCACCTGAAGGATGGGAGGCAGCTTGCCTCTCCTGGCATGAAACCACTGCCTTAACGAGCCAGGGGAGGGATGACCATACTCGACGTGACATCACACTCCACACAGTCTCCATTCCGTGAGTGGGAGCTGAACAGAAGAAGGGAGTCCCCCCGCCCCCCCTTGGCCACACTTGCCCAGAACTCTGTCTCAACAACAGGGAGCTGGTGTAGGATGACAGATGCTGATGTCCTGTTCCTTCCTGGAGGAAACCCTCTGACACGGAGCTGAGGGGAGAGGGGGCCCTGTGTTCTCAGCTACACCCATCTGGAGCAGAGGTAAGGAGAGAGGGAACAGTTTGGGTTCAAATACCACACTTCTAAAATTGTAGTGGATTTTCTTGAATAGATGTTTCTTCATTTGTGTATGCCTATAGGACCACTTCTAGATTATTGTAAATGGTTGTCTTTTTATATAGGTGAGTCCCTCATATTGTCATGTTGAAGTCCATCTTTTTTTTTGAAGTAAGCTCTAGTCCAAATGTGGGGCTTGAACTCATGACCCCAAGACCAAGAGTTGAATGCTCTATGGACTGAGCCAACCAGGCACTCCCAAAGTCAGGCACTTGCAATGGTTTTTGCGATCATTACGTCCTCTTATTGGGTTGATCCCCTTTTTGTTATATAAGGTCCTTCTTTGTCTCTTGTTCTAGTCTTTGTTTAATATATATATATATATATATATATTTTTTTTTTAAAGATTTATCCATTTGAGAGAGAGAGAGAGCAGAGGGAGAAGCAGGAGAGGGAGAGAGACTCTCAGGCAGACTTCCTGCTGAGCACAGAGCCCGACCTGGGGCTTGACCCCAGGACCCTGAGATCATGACTTGAGCCAGAACCAAAAGTCGGCTGCCCAACTGACAGAGCCACTCAGGCACCCCAACACAGTCTGTTTAAAGTCTATTTTGTCCAGAGGGCGCCTGGATGGCTCAGTCAGTGAAGCGTCTGCCTTTGGCTCAGGTCATGATCCCAGGGTCCTGGGATCGAGCCCCGAATCGGGCTCCTTGCTCAGCGGGGGAGCCTGCTTCTCCATCTCCCTTTGCCTGCCACTCCCCCTGCTTGTGCGTTCTCTATCAAATAAATAAATCTTTTAAAAAAAGTCTGTTTGTCCGATGTAAGTATTGCTAGCCTGAAGTCTTTTTTTGGTTTTCAAATGAAAACACGGCAAATACTTTTCCATCCCTCACTTTCAGTCCGTATGTATCCTTAATCTTGCAATGATATTTTTAAAAGATTTATTTATTTGAGAGAGAGAGAGAGACAG